CTCTCTCTCTCTCTCTCTCTCTCTCTCTCTCTCTCTCTCTCTTATCTTTCTACCACATCAGAAACTTGAAGTTGAATGTCCTGCAAAGTTGAGGTAGATTGATGTTTCTTTATCCATTTCTTCCTATATCTATTCCCTACCCTCCGCATTAGTGTGCCCTACAAGATCCACAAGATTGATGCAGTAGCTTCATCTCTTCGCAGGAACTCTCTCTCTCTCTCTCTCCCCCCGCACACACACACACTTTCTTCTCTGTTCGCCTCTCCCTCTCTCTCCATGGTCTTGCATCCTTGAAATCTTCAGTTGGAGATGTCCTACCAAAGTCCACAAGATCGATCCTAGTATACCCTACAATCCGAACTCCTGCTTCACAGTCAGTTCCTCTTCTCTCTCTATATCTACCGCTGGATCTCGGATATTTTAGGTGTTAGATTCGCCTTCCCCGCCCTCTGCCTTACCGTCGTCGGATCTCGAGTGCTTGCAGGAGCTGTGCAGTGCCATGATCTGATCCGGACATGGAAGGCGAAGCCGGCGGATCCCGACGGCCCAACTTCCCTCTCCAGCTCCTCGAGAAGAAGGAAGAAGACTCATGCTCCAGCTCTGCTTACCCTTCCTTGGCCATATCCTCCACCACCGCCGCGGCCGAGCTCGCAGTCGATCGGCTGAGGAAGCCGCCGCCCAAGCGGACCTCCAACAAGGACCGCCACACCAAGGTCGAGGGCCGCGGCCGCCGGATCCGGATGCCGGCCCTCTGCGCGGCCCGCGTCTTCCAGCTCACGCGCGAGCTCGGCCACAAGACCGACGGGGAGACCATCGAGTGGCTGCTCCAGCAGGCTGAGCCCGCGGTGATCGCGGCCACCGGCACCGGAACCATCCCCGCCAACTTCACGTCGCTCAACATCTCCCTCCGCAGCTCCGGCTCCAGCGTCTCTGTGCCCTCCCACCTCCGCGCCGCTAACTACTTCAACAGCGTGGCGGCTGCTCTCCCCGGCACGTCCCTCCGAATCCACAACGAATGGGAACGTGGAGGCGGCTCCGCGTTCCCCACGGAGGGCCCGTCGTCGTCGTCCTCGTCCTTGCTTCTCAATTTCAACTCATGCAATATCGGCCTCGATGCGTCGTCGGAGGGCGACATCGGAAACATACGTAAACGTCGATGGGAGTCGGAGCTTCATCAACATCAACTGCAGCCGGTGCAGCATCAGATGGCGGGCTACAGCCAAGCAAGCCATGGGCAGATGCCAGGAACGGTGTGGATGGTCACAAACCCTAACACACAAGACATGGTGGGTGGTAACAGCCAGTCTATATGGACATTCCCTCAAGTGGGAAGCACCACCATGTTCAGAGGCTCTATGTCCAGTGGCCTGCATTTCATGAACTTTCCTACGCCCATGGCTCTCCTGCCGAGCCAGCAGCTAGGTCTGGGTTCCGGCGGCGGCGGCGGCGGCGGAGGCGAGGGCCACATGGGAATCCCTTCCGCCCTCAACATGTACCGGTCGCCGAGTACCTCCGAGGCGATGCCGTCCGCGTCCCAACAAGGGCACCGAGACTGCGAACGACACGACACGATGAGCACCAGCGATTCCTAGGCCCTTCTCACAACCATGCATGCACTTATCTTCTTCTTCTGGCTAAACATTTTGATCCACTCGGATGATCTTTGGTTCTCATATTTGTTTTGACCACAAAAACCTACGTTCTGGCAATACAAATGCAAGTCATTTCTTGGTGTGTGAACTGATGTGTGATGATGGTTTCGCTAGGGTTCTTATCTTGGTTGCTGAGCTATAGCAATGCCCTTTGGATCAACGAATTAAGAGTTCTGATACTTATAGGACTGTTCTCTTTCTCTTCTCCATTTCTTTTTGGGTGGTCGTAAGATGTCCATCGGCTGAGTGCGTGAGAGAGAGACAGAGACAGAGAGCTTCAGCTCAAACAGTAGACTGGCAGAAGGGAAGAGGACACAAGGGCCGCAGAAGAGAAAGAGATGAGGTTCCTATTCAATGGAGACGATCAGAGCGAATCACATGTCTTCTCTACAATCCAACTCAGAGAGTGATATGATCAATCATTGCTGCCTCTAACCACGATCAAACACACACACACACAAGTGATTAACATCCCGACTCTCTCTACACGAGAACACCACGAGTGTGGGCTCGGCGCTTGCAGAGTGTCATACAAGGATAAGAAGGAAGAGCATGGCAAAAGGCCAAAGGAGTTATAATTCCATGCTAGAGCTGTCGGTTGTTTCGTTTCAGATCAGAGCTGTCACATTTCCAGCAGATGGATCATATTGGGTAACTCTAACCACATGAAGTCTTCTTATCCGTCTCCTCATCTTTCCTCAAAGAAGAACAGCTCCAACCTCCAGCACTGAAAACTGCAACACAGTCACTGCACCTGAAGGAGTCACAATCGATAGAGATATAGAGAGAGAGAGAGAGAGTGTGTGTGTTTCTTTGTCCTTTTCACTAAACTAATACTCACTGACATGCATAATTACATGCATAAGATGTTGGTGAAAACAAGATCAATTTGTTGTATGCTGAATTGGTTTGGAAGTATATTCAGCAACTGTTGGAGGTCCTTTCCTTTCGTGATCTCTTTATGCAAATGATATCTGACACATTGTAGTCACTTTAGGATGAATCTGATGTCCTTTCTACCGCATGCTTGAAAAATAATATTCCTCCTCTCTTTTCTTGGGAAAAGTCCCATTCCAGGCTTTCATCGGCTGACGCTTTATGTTCTCCTATCATGGCTGTTGTACATGTATTATTTTCTTTTGATGGCATCATGATGAACGCCATGCTATTCCTCCATCCTCCTCCTGCCTTTGAACCCCTTCCTCACACCCGCACCTCCAGGGGGGAGAGAGAGAGAGAGAGAGAGAGAGAGAGAGAGAGTGATGTGAAGTATATGAGAGGGGAGATTAAGCTTGAGTTAATGTATCTTAACAACAGCTTTGGAACATAGCACTATACATCTGATTCCAGTGATTAAGATAGTCTAAAGGCAAGCGGAGCCTTTTTGATTTGTCATCACCTTATTTAATTGGCTGGATAATGTTGTTTATGAGCTTCACCGCTGGTCTTGATGATGAGCACAAGACGGCTTAGTTTGCTGAACAAGTAGAACAAAGCATGATTAATTAACATGAAGCTATATAAAATAATATCGTATTGCATCGCTTATAAGACACTAAGCTGAGCAACTCATAAACTTAGGATTTTTCTAAATAACCTTATAAAAATGTGGAACACTACATCAGCTTTGATTTGGTGACTCAAAGGGATGGATGTTCCCTAATGTAGAGGATCATAGTCCGACATTAAGAAAACTATTTTATGTACTCAGCTTCATGTTAACAACAAATATTTTTTTTCTAAAAAAAATAATCTTATTTTAGTCAGAGAGAAGAAAGCTAAAACTAAATGTTTTTAGATTTTTAGTTTTAAAATAATCTTTGTCGTCTCTAATTAAAATAAGTTTTTTTTTATATAAAAAAAGTATTTGTGAATTGATTAAATTTACATAAGAATAAAATATTATGAAACAAAATACCCCTTACTATCTATCTATTTAAAAACCCACATTCTTAAATCCACTTATAAAAAAAATGTCCAATGCCCCTTACGATATGTGATATTTGAATACAAAGCAAAGCATTATTGGGTCAAAATGATCATTTATGTTACACATGAGGCCCAATTACAAAGCCCAATTGCGTAAATTAAGCAATCCAAATGCTGATGTCATATACATGTATTTCTCAAAATTATTCCAAAGAATACTTACTAAATTCATAACAAAATTAAAGGGAAATATGTCACTTAATCACATCCTCACATTTATATTTTGGTCATCCGAAATCTTACACTTCTCCACAGTGTAATAATAAGTCATGTCATGTATTTAATTCCCTAATTTTGTGTGCGATTGATATTCCATTTATTTAGTTGTAGAAAAAGGCAAGCGTGGCTCGCCACAAATTCAGTAGGATAATGTTTTGACGTGCCACAGTTCCTCCACCTAAATCTTTCTCATCCTATGTGGCGGCCTCACGGACATCTCTGGCGTGGGTGAGTCTCGGGGTGACAGTTCCGTGCGCGTTTCCGGACCGTATTAGTATACGTTGATCTCAATTTTAATGGGGTTTAGATGCCGACGTGTTTTGTAATTACCGGAAAGAGAGAGGAGAGAGGAGAGAGGAGAAAGAGAGAGAGAGAGGTGGGGGAGGGGGAGGAGAAAGAGAGAGAGAGAGAGAGATTGCGGAGGCGCACGTTAGCAATTGCAAGGACACCGGCATTTGAATTCGTCGCCTCCTCTCTCTCGATCTCTCCTTCTTCTTCTTCTTCTTCTTCTTCTCGTTGATTGGGCGGCGAATCTCTCGATCCGATCATCTATCGAGCTCGCGCGCGGCGGAGATCCTGAGTTTCTCGCGATTCCCTCCGGCTAACGCCATTGCGGGCGACTCAGATTGCTTCGCCTCATCCATCCGAAGTACACAATCCTAGATTCCAACAACGTCTTCGTCGTATATTAGGGCATCGCGTAGCTGGTCCCTCCACGGTAGCCCTTCTTCGCGTTGGAGTTTTCCTTCGTTTATGATTCGGATGCCTGGCGTCTCGTGGAGTTTCGAGACATTCTTTTGGGAATTACGACTTTATGGGGTTTCCGTCGAGATTTTTGAGCTATTTCCGAGCTCCGGAGCTGTCGCAGCGAGTATTGGTTGACAACAACAGCTGAGGTGGTAACGATTTCTCGAAGGATCATGGCATGCTTTGTTTCCTTTCACGTTTTAAGGGTGGAAATCACCGGCATTGCAGTTCTTTGATCTTCATAGACCTTAACTTGGGCTGAAAACAACAGTTCGTCCTGTTATTGATTTGGTCTCAGTGGAGTAGATACTTGGATCGTGCCGGGTGCCCTCCTTGTTGGTTTTTACCGATGCTATGTTGGAGTAGAATTCTGCTCCATAAGCGAAAGCTCGTCTCTCGACTCCGTTTATGGGGCAGCATCAGATAGTCCACAGCAGCAGTCTTTTGTCTTTTCATTATGCCGGAAAGGATTGTTCTTTATGCGTATGTTGTTTGATCCCGGTCCGTGGATGGCAGATCCTCTGAGAAATGGTCCCGTGGAAAGGGATGTAGAGCAGGTATCATTCTGAGGCAACTCCAATACTTTGTTGCTTTCGTTATCTCTTTTGGTGTATGATCTTTTGTGTTTCCTTCTGGTTTAGCAACAACTGAGGTGTTCAATCTATTCCCCTAACGTTAAAAAGTAAAATTTGAAATAGATACTGACATGCAGAGGAATCTTACCTTATCCTTTCAAATCTTGGTGTGTCATATGGAGTAAGGTTTTCATAGTAGGGTAAAGGAGTCTACTTGGGCTTCCTCTTAGTCTTTGAACTTTCAGATTTCATTTAATACATCCTCATTGGATACAATGCCTTTTCTGAACATGCACAAATTAATTTTCTGATTATATCCTCATCTGATCAAGTGAGCATTTAGTAATTTGAATCCCCGTGGCAACCACTTGTTGCTCCAATCTGATCCATCTAATGTTGGTCTTCATTTGTTGCAGAATTTGTCATACTCAATGCTATTCCAAGTTCTTTATGTCATTTGCAAATGCTCATTTTCTCTTTTTGTGACAATAAACATCCCAGTTCATCTCAAAATCATTTTGAAAAATTGTCTCTGAATTTTGAACTATGTCTCTTTTTTGTTGGGGCTTATGATACACATTAGTGCATGCCATTCCTTTTCTGGAGTTTTGTGGTATTTAAAATGTTGTATGCAGTGAAAACAAATAAATGGATTGTTAATTTATGGAAAGTTACTTCATTTGCATTGTTCTCTGTATTATATTCTGAAACACTATATGTGATAAGCAGTGAAAACTAATATATGGATCGAGGATTTATATAAAGTTAATTCATTTGCATTGTTCTTCTGTATTATATTCTCAAACACTATATGTGATTGAAAACATGGTATTATGTCCATGTATATATTTCTTTTTGTATAAAATGTGCAACTACCTGAACTAATAATCATTTATATCCTCTAACTTTACTACATTATATTTCTAGATTAACAATATCATGGATCTTGTGATCTTTACACTATATTAAGGTTAAACATATAAACAATTTGTCTCCATTTCTTTTGCAAGGATATTTATTTAATGCTAATTGATTGTGAAAATAATCTTCTCTTATATAAGGAAATGACTGCATTAAGAACTTCCCAAATCCTTCTTGACCAGATAAAGTCTGAAAATTTCCATGGCATAATTGCTATAGAGGAGATATGGGATCAATATTCATGTTCCAGCTCACACTTAATGCAGTTGGAGTCACTAAATCGAATCAAAATCACCAATTGGAATCACGCCCCAGTAAAACCTCCATAATATTTGGACTGTGCAAAATAGAGATCGACTAGCATGTGCTCTGGCCTTTTCAATAGTTGTGTGAGTCCTATTATTCATTCATAGGAAGGCTATATATGCTATTAAGTGGCAGATTCTCTTGGTTGTCAGGGAATCAAACCCACTTATCATCAAAGAGATTACTAGGAAGCTCAAAAGATGAGACTCTGTATGGAAAAACATAAAAAAGTAATAATGGATCTTTTCTTGCCATTGAGTTTAATGAGGAGTATTTATAGTCAAATTAAGGGATCAAGTCTGTTGTCATTTGTTTCTAGGAGATTTTCCTTAGACATCCTTCTATCAGTCCTTGAACCACTAATCCTAATTGACTCACCTTGTCTAATATGGAGAATCTTTGTCTGTCCTGTATTGTATCCTACACAGGAGCTACAATTAATTGTTAGTAAACAAAAAACGTTTCTTACTTTATCCTTTTCTGTAACCACTCATATCTACCTCAGTATTCTCATCTTGGATGCACTAAGTTTTGTATATACAATTTCTTTACACAGTACTGGAGCAATAAGATAGAGGTGCAGCTAGCTAATCTAGAAGACAAATATAAAATTCATGTAAGGATTAAAAAATGATGTTTTATTGAAAAGAAGTCATGCTTATAATAAGATGAAAAGCCTATTTACAGAAGTAACCTGAATTTCTACCTAATATAACTTTATTTTTACTAATCTAAACATCTAATAATTTAAAGATTAATCTTTGTGGATCAGGGTTAATAAACATGAAAACAAACAAATAGAATCTTATATAATCTGTATATCTAGTAGTTAAATGATTAGTTTTCATGAATCAGGGTTAGTAAACATGTTGCTTTAGATATCCTTCCAGAACTTGTTCTCAAGTTTGCCATTTGAACTTTTAATCTTTTAGATCTTTCACATAGTGATATTTATATGGTTCTGTAGGAAGGAGTGAGCTGATGAATTGGGTTAATAAACAAATAAGTGCTGTTCTTTATTGTTGATGCTATTTACTTCATGATACCCAGGCAATTACAGCCTTAAAGAAAGGAGCATATCTATTGAAGTATGGACGAAGAGGAAGGCCAAAGTTTTGTCCTTTCAGACTTTCAAATGTAAGTTGCTCTACAACGTTAAAGGAAGACTACGTCTGTCCTTTTTCATTCTTGCTTATTTTAAATATGCCCTCGACTGATAGTGAATGTTAAAAATTGTTTCTGTTTTTATATGATTACTGCAGTTCATTTTTTTCTAAGTTAAAGGTGTCATCCAAACCCCTATAACTTGAACAAGAAATCATGAAGCTTTATGTATCTATATCTAACCTGATGTTTGTTTTCTCTTTGGTGTCACAATCTTATCTCATTAAATTATTGTGCTTAAATTCCAGGATGAATCTTTGCTAATTTGGTACTCTGGAAGGGATGAGAAACAACTTAAACTTAGTCAGGTTTACAAGATAATACCAGGACAGCGTACTGTAAGTTCAATTCTTCATCTTTAGATATCTTCTTGATGCTTATTTCCATATGTATGCATCATCTTTCATTTACTAAATATGAGAGTATGTTTTTTGCATATATGTAATATAATATTGTCATGAACCATAAACATTTACCTGCTGCATTTAGGTACTCTTTCCTTTTTACTTCTTTCCATGTAAATTGACCATATAACATTAATATGAACATTACTGTGCTGATTGTCCCCTCTTTGTGACACAGTAATAGAATGTTTTATTGTTATTTATTACAATTAACTTTATGAGATTCTGTTCTGATTCTTTCAATGCTTTATTCAAAGATCACTGTGAATTGTAGTTTAAATGAGAACTATGGTGTTCTTTATTCTTTTAGGCAATATTTCAGCGGTATCCACGGCCTGATAAAGAATACCAGTCATTTTCTCTTATATACAATGAAAGATCACTAGATTTGGTACGTACATCCATTCCTGTTCCTCATGTTTTACCTAGCTTTACTATTTGTATCTTCTGGGAGAATGTTCTGCAATTTCTCTTCTGACACTGACCTTTAGACACAATTTGAAATCACGTGTTCATGATACATACAGTAGCATATATGCAAACAGACTGATGGTTTGGATATACTGCACAGCTAGCATAAATGTTATACTTATTGTGAACCACACTGTTTAAATACAATTCTCAATTAAAATGAATTTGTCAGATCTGCAAGGACAAGGACGAAGCAGAAGCCTGGTTTGTTGGATTGAAGGCTTTGATTTCACGAGGAAATTATCGGAAGTTGAGATCAGAATCAAAAGGGGATAGGACTTCGTCTGATAGTCCTACTACATATATTCGTAAAATTTCTCCATTCACATCACCCTTCAGTGGTAGTGATATCTCCCATAAGGTTTGGCAAGTTTGTTCTTTGTCTAACTTTTGCTATATAATAATGTTACTGGTTATAGACCCTATCATGTTTCATTTTTTAAGGATTCCAGTGATGACCAAATCAATACTTCTTATGAGTACCATCCAGTTAATGGTTTGGGGAAGGTGTTGTCTGACGTGATATTGTATACGTCACCAGCCAGGAGTTTGTTACACTCAGAATCTCTATGTAAATCTTTTTGTTCACACTCATCAGGAGCTGCAGATATTACTAATGGACAGGGCTCTGCAGTTGATACTGTTAGAGTAAGTTTATCTAGTGCTGTTAGCTCATCAAGCCATGGATCAAATCATGAGGATTTTGATGCATTAGGTGATGTTTTCATTTGGGGAGAAGGCATAGGTGATGGGTTTCTTGGTGGTGGCTTGCAAAGGGCTGGAATTTCCTCGACCATTGCGATTGATGCATCACTGCCAAAAGCTTTGGAGTCAACAGTAGTGCTTGATGTTCACAATATAGCTTGTGGTAAGAATCATGCAGTTTTGGTTACCAAACAGGGGGAGGTTTTCAGTTGGGGAGAGGAATCAGGAGGCAGGCTTGGCCATGGAAATGATGTTGATGTTTCGCAGCCAAGGCTTGTGGATGCCCTAGGTGGTATGAATGTTGAACTCATGGCATGTGGCGAATATCATACATGCGCTGTAACTTTGTCTGGGGATTTATTTACATGGGGTGATGGTACTCACGGTTCAGGTCTCCTGGGTCATGGGAGTGATGCGAGTCACTGGATTCCGAAAAAAGTGTGTGGTCCAATGGAAGGTCTGCATGCGTCATCAGTATCTTGTGGACCATGGCATACAGCCGTTGTGACTTCTGCAGGCCAGCTATTTACATTTGGTGATGGAATTTTCGGTGCTCTGGGTCATGGTGATCATAGAAGCACAAACATACCAAGAGAAGTTGAAGCTCTGAGAGGAATGCGCACTGTTCGTGCAGCTTGTGGTGTTTGGCACACTGCTGCAATTGTGGAAATTTCAGATGCATCCTCTGATTCCAGTGACTCTGCGATGGGGAAACTATTCACTTGGGGAGATGGTGATAAAGGTCGACTTGGACATGGTGATAGGGAACCCAGACTCCTTCCAGCATGTGTAGCATCTCTTTCTGATAATATTTGTAAGGTAGCTTGCGGGCATGACATAACTGTTGCTTTAACAACTTCTGGACATGTTTATACAATGGGAAGTACTGTATATGGGCAACTTGGTAATCCCCAAACCGATGGAAAGCTTCCCACTCGTGTTGAAGGAAAGATTTCAAATCATTTTGTTGAAGAGATATCATGTGGATCTTATCATGTTGCTGTATTGACCTCAAGAACTGAAGTCTATACCTGGGGCAAAGGAGTGAATGGCCGTTTAGGCCATGGGGATAATGATGACCGAAATACTCCGACACTTGTTGAAGCTTTAAAGGACAAACAAGTGAAGAGTGTTGTATGTGGTGCAAGTTTTACTGCAATCATCTGTCTTCATAAGTGGGTGTCCAGTGCTGATCAGTCCATATGTTCTGGTTGTCATCTCCATTTTGGATTCAGAAGAAAACGTCATAATTGTTATAATTGTGGTTTAGTCTTTTGCAAAGCATGTAGCAGCAGAAAATCTACTGGAGCTTCTTTAGCACCAAATATTAATAAGTTGTATCGTGTATGTGATGAATGTTATACCAAGCTTAGGAAAGTGGTGGGGGATGGTAAGATTCCTCAAATTCCAAGGCATCAAAATGGAAGTACAAACCAGGTGCCTGGTGAACTGGCTGACAAAGATTCACCTGGTCCTAGGATGCAGGGTCAGTTCTCTAGGCTCTCATCATTTGAATCTTTTAAAGGTGAAAACAGAGATTCCAGAGAATCAAACAATGGATATCCATCAAGTTCTTCAAAGTTTCTTCAAGTTCAAGCATCTTCAAAGAAAATATTCTCTGCTTCTGTCCCAGGTTCAAGAGTAGCGTCTCGTTCAAATTCACCTACATCATGTAAGCGAAGTCCATTGCATTCATTGGCCATATCAAGGGATGCCACTATTACATGCTTGGAAATATGTCATGACTTGAACCCAACCAATGAGGATCTAAGACAAGAAATCCTTAAGTTACGGGCACAGGTAAGTGTGTTGTAAATTCAAGTGGGTTATTTTTAGATTTTTGGCTCATAGCGCACATGCTACCGCATCATAAACTCGACTGAATTTGGTTGCATATTGTTTTAGTACTTGCAAAACTATGAATATGGACATTCATACCAACTTCTTACATTACTGATAATTGACAGTTTCCTGTAATCATATCTGTTATTTTGCTTATGCAAGGATCATAACACATATTTGTCTTCCATTTAAATTTTCAGTTATATTTAAATTTTCCAATTGAATTTTTGGTTGTCATTAATCATTTTATTTCATGATTGATCAGTTGTACACCATTAACTAGAACTTTTTTTCTGTAGGTTGATGAGCTAGCATGTAAATCACAACTTCTAGAAGTGGAATTGCAGAAAACAACAAAACAATTGACAGATGCAAAAGCAATGGTGAGCGAAGAAACTGCAAAGGGCAAGGCTGCAAAGGAAGTAATCAAGTCTCTGACATCACAGGTAGAGCTTTTTGTTTACCCATTCTATTCCTGGTGTAAGTAACCCTTGGTTCTAAAAATTGATCTACCAGCTTTTTAGGTGCTATTTTTGTGAATGTGGTAAGTGTATCTTTCCTCTAAATTTGCAGATTAGGAATTCTATGTAGCACACATCTAATGACTTCTTGGTCTAGTATGCTAAATTATGTACACCGTGTTCTTATTCATGTCGGATTCCATGTTTCACTTGGTTATTTTCTACAAATAGAAATTTGCCTCTGAAATTTTATTGTACTTTGAAGTTTGAATCATGGCTTCCAAAGGTGTATTGGATTACCAACCGTCTCAATCGGTACTAACATATTAAATAATTTTTAGTAATTCTTTTGGTGCACTGAGGTGTATGCATCATATTGATCGGTGGGTGAAGGTCTAAGAAGATTCTGGAATGGTATTGGTACCTAAGAACTTGCTTTGAGGTCTTCATGAATTAAGGATTTATATCTCAAATGCCTGCCAGGCTCCTCTTGAGATGTTCTGATATGTAGGTGCAATATGATATACTATGGTATACTGTTATGAAAGATTAACAAATATCAGTTAAACTGTCATTATACCTTGGTAAGTATGGTGTATTCTATACCAGTATGCAGTTGGAGCAACACAATATGATCCACTTATATGCCAAGATATTTTAGATCTTTCTAGGGATTTTACAGCACTAGAAATGTATGATCATGGAACAGCAGGTTGTCATGTTCCAGCCATTTAGGGTTAGCTATGTAGAGCTTTTCTTATCATTTGGATCCACCTGGGCAATAGAACAAGCCAAATGGAAGTAGTCAACTCTCTTGTTATGATTTCTCAAGTCTTTACATCTCCTCGCATTGGTAACTCTATGCAACTCACCTCATCTAACTGAGACATCTATTGGCCTCCTTGCAACCTGTTCATACCATCATTAATATGTTTTCCTCAATTTACCCTCTATCATAAATATGCCGATTGTTCAAAGAAAATAAGCATTTCTTGGTCTCTTTTTCCTACTTGTCCTACACATTCATCTTAGCATCCTCAACTTGGTAACACTAACTTTTTTTTTTTTGTAAAAGTTTCCTAAATCAATTCCAATCCATGACACATGATTAGCATTACAGTTGTCTGATAAAATTCCTCTTTTAATTGAAGGGGACGTGAGTATTATGTAAAAATCTTGATACCCCTCCCCAATTTTTATCATTCTGCTTTATATCTATTAACAATAACCTTAGAATATCCTTTGTGAATAACAGATCCAAGATAACCTAAATTTATACTTTTTAGAAACTTCTTGTCCATAACTGATCCTTGACATGAAGTTATTGTTAAAGAGAACTCACTATGCATTCCTCCCAATTGTAATACTAGTGACAACCCTATCATATATATCTTTTATCACAACAATAAAACTACTAAGCACTGTTTTTATTTTCTAAAACACATCACAATAGATTCTATATGGGTTTTCTCTATCTAGTTCAATAAAAACAATCCAAGTTTTTTCTCCCTATTTCTAATTTTTAATCATTTTTAAGAAATAGTTAGTTTTAATAATTTGTCTTTCATGCACAAAACCATGAAAAATAGTATTATTTTAATTAAAAGAAACACAATTAAAGATTTCAAAAGATTTTCTTCCAGTATTCAGTGCAAATATCTTGAGTAAATAATTCAGCTTTTATTCCCAGTTGTGCAGCAGATCCAACATTTAGATTTTGTGGCGGATTCTTAACTACATCTGTTTAATCATCAATATTGGAGAGAAAGATGGTAGTTTCTTTTGGTTAATTTTGCTTGCAACTAAATCACTTTACTTTGGTTAGAATCAGTACATGCAGGATCTAAAATAGGGTGTACCCAGTGTAGAGGGCCTCATCTAATATGTGGTCTGGGAGAGTCAATTTATACAGCCTTACCTCTAAATATATAACGGCTATTTTTTTTTACTCGAATCATGAACTCAGGACTCAGGGAAAGAATTTTAGTGTCTAGGATCCAATAGAGCAAAGTACAACAATGCCTTCTATGGCTCCGTAGTCTAAAACCACTTGAGCATTGTTCCCATTGTTAGACCGCTATTATATATTTTCTAATGAATCAGGCTCGTTAGTGTCCCAACAATTGTTATTGCAATACTGTACAGAAGCTCATTGCCATATTTAGTTACTTATCAGGCACTGTAGGTAGGACTAGTTTTTTTCAAGTTAAGCTACTAGAATACTGATCCTTTAATCTGATCTGTGTGTGGGCTTATTATATGCTGAGATGGCAAGATGCATTAAAAATCTCTTTTCATGCTACTATGCTGTACTTTAATACAATTCACTACTTTTTGGGTTCTAATTTCCAGTTCTTATATTTGGCAGCTAAAGATCATGGCTGACAGAGTACCAGAGGCATCTCTGATATCCCGCAACAATGGGTCTGGTTATACATCTGACTCACCGAAACTACAATCCATTGACAACACAACAAGCAACTTGCTACCTTCCCAGTTATCTGAGTCAAATGGTAATTTGAGTAATCCAGTGGTCTGCAATGGAAACAACACATTGTCAGAAAAAGTGGAATGGGTTGAACAAGCTGAACCAGGTGTTTACTTTAGCATATCTTCTTTGCCTGGTGGTGATAAATGTCTCAGGCGAGTGTGCTTTAGGTATGGGAAGCCTCTTACCCATGTCATATTTTACATGGATGGTCTATTGGTAAACATCTTTATCACTAATTCTGTTTTTTTGTCCCAGAAGTAATATAACAGAAGGTACAGATAAGATACTAATTTTTACTATTATTTCTAACTCTGAACGGTTTCAAATGACAAGTCTTTTTTTTTTTTTTGAGTGATCAGCATATGATTCGTTGTCTATATAGTGTTAATATTGTTTCTTGGTCTAGATAATAAGTGGTCGTCATATTTCTGTGGACTTTATTGCATGTGTGTCGGATGATAATGCAGTTAGATTGGTGGTTCTTACTTTTCTTGGGAAAAAGCAGGTACTTTGTTTTACTCATTCTCATTTTTTACAAGATTATACAATAAGAAATCCCCAGGATCATGTCATCTTACATACATTTAAAAAATCCACATGATGACACTGGGACGAAAATTGTCCCACAAGTTCACAAATAAGAGACAGTGCAGTACAAGATAACCACAGCTGGGATACAGAACACACCCAGTAAACTTTAATTAAGTTGCTATTTGCACGTCTTCTGAGGTTTGTTCAATGATTAATTTGATTTTTAAGCGACTAAAGTTTAGAAGGAACTAGGTGAGTCTAATAACTGGGCAAACTTTTACAGAAAGAATAAAAGCAAAACATTTTTCAATTTTCTACATGCATTTTGACACCAAACATTTCAGTTTTCAATTTTCTTACAAGTATTGGAAAAGACAACAGAGGTTAGTTAATATCGCGGTTAATTTCTAGGTTTGCTTTATCAATATTCATAAGCCTCGTTCTGCACAGTCTTGACTTGACAATTAATTGAAAGATTTATGTCTGATCGAGATTTACTATGTTGTAATTCATCAGATATGCTGTCCAATTTGTGAATTTAGTTGCAAAAATAACCTATCATTACTGTTCATGCAACAGGCATTGTTACATGTTCATATTTAGATGCCTTTATATTGGAGAACTAGAAAGATCTATTGGTTGTTGGTGCAGTATTTTATCATCCCAGAGTCTTTTTTTTATGATAATCGTTGTTTTCTTTGCAGCCGAAAAAGATTTAGTGAACAACAAGCAGAGAAGTGGTGGGTAGAAAATCGATCAAGGATTCAGGAGAAATACACTATCCTTAGTGGTGAAAATTCTGCCTCGAGCTCTACTTCCGCGCATCTTGCAGGAAGGATTGCTTGTTCGACCAAGCAGTGATGCCGCAAACTCTCTGTGCCGCTCCCCGGTAAATGTAAATATTCCTTAGAACCGGTGGACGATGCACATACCTTACCTTATTGATTGTTGCACCATACTAGGGCAGTGTTTGGAAGGAAAATTGCCACACGTGCCAGGCACTTACAGTGGCCGCTGCTGCCTTAGAGGATTCCTTTTAACCCCTTCAACAAAAATCATGCAATATTATCTTCCATGCATCTAATTTTCTGTCCAGGAAGAACATCAAATTTTTTTTTTTTTTGAGGTTTTATCATTTTCTCATGGATTCCGACTGTACCTGGATGATCGTAGTCATGATAACACTGAAGATAGTTGATACTCTTTAGTTAGCTGTGTTCCCAAGCTAACACTGAAGAAGAAAGTAAGATGGTTGACATGAGAGATTAGACTTGTTATCTATAGGAAAACTGGAAGAGTGCTTCAATTCTGCCATTTTTTGCTTGAGCATCATGGTTGACATTTTCTCACCGGTGGCCCATTCTCATGATGTTTTATCATCGAAATAGTGCATAGCATTTTATGTTACTCTCTCTTTGGCATTGATGAAATCCACTCCTACGTTTTGTAAGAGGTTGCTGCTTCTCTAATCCTCTTTACTGTGCTAGAAAACATGGCACGGGCTTGAGGTGCAGGTATGAAAGAAATCCCCTCCTACGTTTGAGTGTTCTAAATCAACTCTAAATTTAATATCTAAGTCAATTTTAAATAACGGGTCAAATTTATATTTAAATGTATTTGATGATATTATAAATTATTTTTTTGTAATATAGTAAAAGAGGATGAAAGGGATAGAGCATGACGGAGAAGAGAGCGATTTTTAATATTTTTAATCTCAAATTATAAATATTTTTAATAATAAATAAACAAATAAATAAAAGTTGAGGGATTTTTAATTTCTTTGTAAGCTCAAATGTTTTAATTTGTGAACAAATCAATTAATTTTTGTAGCTATGGGTCGTTTCCGTGAAACATGATTTGTTTGGCTAAAGAGGATCGAAGTAGAAAACACTTTTAATAGTGTGTTTTTTTTGTTTTCTTCATTCTGTAACCACCAACCCCATTCACTCCATTTCTTTGTAATGTAATGATTCACAAAAAAAGATTTGATCGTTTGAGAATCCTACAGAATTATCGAGTGTTAAAGACCGGCTTTATCATTTGATTTCAAGAGATGTATAAATAATGATAGCTACAAGAAAATAAACACCAGCAAAAAAAAAATTAATACTTAAAAAACAGAAAAAGAAAAAAAAAATTGCAGTGATACACCTGAGTCATCACCTATCGTGGGTTGAATGTTCAAATCTTCATCCTATGAATTTTCTGAAAATACTGATTAATTGGCGATAGCAAGATCGATCGATCGATCTGAGTTCATCTTTACTACACTTACACTTAGAATAAGATAATTGCTCCCTTTTTTTATTTTTTTATAAATCTATCTTCACAACAAGATCCTGTGATGGAATTCCATCATCAAACTTTCTGGTCCTTTTCCAAAAGCACACATCTTTCTTCAGTTTACCGAACCCAAGTACATTTCATTCATCAGCAACTTCTTCCAGCATAATTTGCTGACCACAAGTAGAGACAAAGATAAACAGAAACAAATATATACATAAGGCATATGAATGAATGAATGAATGGCAGGCAGGTATAACCAGATTTACCATAAGGCTTCCACTCTATTGTAAACAATTCGATTCTGGAGGCTACTCTGTGTCCAATTCATTAACTAAATACAAGGAACCGATAAGACATAAAGGATTACCCACCTACCTTATGCTAAAGCATCTAAGGAACTAATCTTAACCACACACAAGATGATGGTATCATCGGTTTAGCGAACCCCAAACAACGGAACAAGCAGCACGTTTATCCCGTATTCCCAAACATTTACATACAACATCGATGTAACCAAGAGAAGTGATAAAATGTTTCCTGCTTCAAGCATCTCCAAATATGCAATGTGGACGATCTAGATCGACAACTTTAACCAGGTCAACTGAAAAAGTAATGTATATTGAGAGAGGATAAAGGAAAAAAAAAAGTTCAGAAAAAGAATAATAAAACTGCTCTAGAAAGAACCTGGAAAGTTGTACAGGTATGATTCTCAGAGACACCTGAGTTGAAACCTCAAGAAGCTAATTTTGGAATTGAGCAGGAAACATCCCTATCTAATGCTGACGATGGCAATTAGATTAGGGGGAAAAGAAAATCTGAAATTACACATTCTAAAACTGGTGGTATTAAATACATCTGCTGAGCGAGCTATTCCCAAAAATTTTCTTCCGTAAAGTCTCCAACTCCGTATAAATTAACTAACTTTCTAGTCATTCATGCCCCACACCAGTCTATATGTCTGAGGATAAAAGCATTAGAAGCTCCCTTGGAGTAATGAACAAGTAATAAGAAACTTCCAAATCCCAATATACTGGAAAAAAATAATTAAGCCCGTAAGTCTAATTATGTATGTTTGAGGCAATCAGTAGTTGTGCTCGTGACTGCTAAGATTTAACAAGTTTCTTATCCTTTTCACAAGGGCTTGAACAGAGGTAACACAGAGGCAAAACTCTTCATCATCTAAATTTGTCCGACTACTGAATCTGCCTAGACTGTTAATCGATCCCCATTTTTTCCAACTAGTTCTGCATCTCAGAGATTCTTTCCAAATTCATCTATGTTTAAATTAAGAGAGGAATCTAATAATTGATGACCGACACCAACTACATAGAGAACTATTTGAAGATGTTCCCGGATATCAAATATAATGAAGCTTCAGCCACATCCAACACATGATTTCTGAGAAAGTAAATTAGCAAAATATGAAAGCAATGGGACCCTTGGCACATAAATATGAACTTAAGCCCAAGAGTAGTAAGCTACAGCGGAACACACACATCAGAACAAAGAATACAAGAACTGATGACCAATTTTATTTCCTTGAGATAGTGGCAACAAGAATGAAATGGCAGAATAGTACACTGTAAAGCTAATAAACAGAGGAACATGCAGCTACATCAAATTATTATATGTAATTGTACTGCATGACCCACGTGAGCACTCTCATGCGAATAGGCATTTTGGAAGAAGTTAAAATGTTTTGTCTTAATTTAGATCAGGGCAGGGCTAGAAGATAAAAGAGAGAGGATAAATCTCAAGTGTTACTTAGAAGAGAGTGTTCCGTCAAATCCCGAGTAAAATCTGAAATTTCAAAAAGGCAGAGATTACCCTGGTCGAATCAGTGTTTTATGCCCTTCAACCAATCAATCTTCCACATCCTCTTCCAAAAGGCATGCAACAATTCTTCAGACAAATCTCAGCAGCCCATCACAGCGCAATTATACACAAAGCTCCCACAATGCTTGCTGGCAATCATGTTCCATTCTGGAGGCCCATTTCTCGGAGTCCATGAATTTAATTCAATCATCCCTCCTCCAAGCACCCTCGGTCCGCCAATCACCAAGAGTCGTTCACCACAAGCCCGAAAAGCTAGGCCCCAACCATTCACTGAATCTGGTCTCTCAGGCAGCCTTCCCAAAGTGATCCAAGAGTTATTCTTCTTGTCATATTTTCTAACCTCTTTTTCTGCATAATCAGCTGCATATAGCTCGTTATTAACTACTGCAACCAGCGGAGGTGCACCACTTGGACCATTGAGTCCTAGGGACATATTTGGAATGACCGTCCAGGTATGTTTCTCCATATCATATTCTTCCCCACACGTCAGCAATTCTGTAGTGCTAGACATTCCGCCGATCACATAGAACTTGTTGTCCATAAAGACACCTGAGCACATCTTCCTTGGTTTATTCATGCTACGGAGAATTGTCCATGTTTGTGTCTCAGAATTGTAAAGCTCCGCGGACCTCAATATAGCACCTTGTGCATCTACGCCACCAGCTACGATAGCTCTCTCCCCAAAGCTGGCTGATCCAAATAAGCACCTAGGGGAGTTCATTTCAATACCTTGGGACCAAGAATTTGTCAGAATGCTATACCTCAGTACTATATGGGAAATACAACAGGTATAGTCCCTTCCGAAAACAAGGAGCTCAGTGCCCACAGCCAATGATTCCTTATCAGAGCGCATGAAGAAATCATTCTGTGGCATTTTTGGGAGGGTAATCCAGCGTCCGCGATAGGGATCATATGCTTCCCACTCGAGTATATTGCAGGAGAAGTATACCCAGTGCTCGATGATCCCCATCTGTCGCCGTAGCTTGTAGAGATCACCGGACCGGATCAAGGAATTAAAAGCTCGGTTCAGGGATGCAAGGGCACCATAGTCTGACCGAGAGCAGTGAAGGAGACACTTTATAGACATGTCACGGCCAATTTGGACGATGAGAGAGTTTGTATCGGAGTAATGGGCATCATAACTGGATTCATCAAGAGGTAATTTTGCTATTTCCTGCAACGGAGGCTCCGAGTGATCTTCGGATTTAGCCTTCTTTACTGAAGCAGCTTCACAGAGCTCCAAAGGTTCCACAAGTGGAGGGCGTTTGTTGGTAGTGATCTCAAGGAGATGATAGGTCATGTAAGCCAATTTGGATTCTTGCTCGCAGGAGCTCGGCAATGCTCTCGAGATAAAAAAGGACTCCTTCTCTAGCATGTCTTTGACGCGCACCAAATTCCCACCCCCGCACCGGGGACAAGTTTAAGCTAATCTATTCCTCTCCCAAAGCTATGAATGCACAATCTGCTGCAGTGGCAAAAGCAAAACAAGACCATCAGAGAGATTGCTTAAATGAAAGGCAACAATCTTAATACATCTACGAGAACAGTGGTATAAAAGAAGCAACTTGGTTGATAAGAACAGATCAAGCAAGCTTTACTGCGGATCAAATTCACAAGAACCATGGAAAGTTCCATCAAAGAAGTCACCAAAGCAGAAATTCCCGCAAAGATCCAATCTTTCCGACACAAAGTTCCTCGATCTCGCTTCAACAAATCCAATCGATTTAACGACGTAACGATTAGAGAAAGAGCACCAATCGCCAAAACAAGAAAAGATCTTGAAGAAGTAAAACCCTAGCGCAGTCGAACCGGAACACAGATCTCGCAATTCCCACCAAAACAAAGCCAAAGATTCCAGCTTTCGGTTCCTCCATAATCTATAACCGACGACGCAAAGATCTCCGTTTAAAACAGAAGCTCAAAAGAACACGCACAAATCACAGTGTCTGCTAAAATCGTTTTCTTCCTGTCATAATTGACGCGCGGGCACGGGAATCAACATCAGAAGAACAAGAACAAGAAGAAGAAAGGCGAGATTTTGAACTTACATGTGGACTGACAACAGTGAGGAGGAGGAGGAGGAGGATTCAAAAGAAGGTGAAGTCCATCAATTCGTGCTTTTCACTTGTAATGATCTGTTAAATTTGTGCTTCTTCGATGTTCCTCTTCTTCCTCCTCAGAGTGAGGGAAGGCAGCTTCTCCTACTTCGATCGGATTCGTCCTTGCGATCCTATCATGGTAGTGCTCAGAATTCATAGCGCTTCACCCGCTTCGGGCCTCGCGAGCAGCTCATTTCTTTCCATTTATTGACCACCGCCTCCCCGCCCCACTTTTATTCTCCCCCATCGCCCCTCGCGCTCTCTCACTCTCACACTCTCTCTCTCTCTCTCTCTTCTCCTCTCCCATGTTTCGATGACACTACCTCCAATATTTTTCATATTTATATCTATCTAATCCATCCATTTAAATAAAGTTAAATATTTAATATATATTTTCTAAAAATAATGGCTTTAATCGAATTAAATATATAAATAATTATTTAAATATAATAATACTATAAAATATAAATATTTAATAAAATATAATTAATTTTGCGACAACATTGTGATATTTGGTATGCAAAAGATGGTACTTATCGAAACTTTATATGGTTGTACGAGAAAAAAATATATTAATAAAAATGAGCTTCATTCAATAGTATAAAGAGTGATATAATACAACAACCTGTCTCCATTCATTGTATCCACCAAATGTCGTCAATTATAATTTTATTAATTATAATTAAATAAAATTATTTTATCAATTCGATCAAGCAGCATGATATAAATATTTTTTTTAAAAAAATAATATTATTATTAAACTAATATTCATCTGATTGAATTATTATTGATCAGAGTCTGTCCTCCTTTCTGCTAATTATTATACCAAACAACGATTAGATAGATATTTCCTGTATCAACCATCAAAATGAGTCAAAGAAGCACCAGAAGCTTCTGGTGGTGCTTTTCCAGGCTGGTTCAAAGCAAACCAAACTTGTCTTCTCCAGCATCAAGTACTGCTTCTGACCCTGCAATGGTGATTCTCACTTTTGAGCCTCTGAAACCCTAATAATTCTCTTTCCAAGAAGGACAACATGTCAACCTCAACAGTTTGGGTTTCATGAGCTGCATTGTAGCCGTCTCCAATGATGTCTAAATAACGTCTTGGAAATGATAGTCTTTGCATCAAACAAGCTTTCCTCGTTGTGTTGGATTGCTGCTGTCTCCTTTACTTCATTCCCATACCAAGATATAATATATATATATATATTTATTTATTGGTGAAGTCCGAAAGATAAAAAGAAGAGAGGCTGAGCTCCTCATCAAACTTATCTTCTTATCCTCACGTTATCCTCATGTCCTTTTATGTAAGACAAGACAAGATATTATTACAGCCTATCAATCTTCTTGTTAACATAACTTGTATTATGTTAACACTTTTGTAAGATATGATGAAGAGACAAGTTTTGCTCGCTGGCTTGGTCCAGCTCAATCGAACTTCAAATCCTTTTTGCCTCTTTTTGACTGCCAAAGAGGAGGTGAATCTTTAAACAGTAGGCCAACAAGCTGTCACTCCGAGACACCAAAAAACAAAAAAGAGAGAGCACCCATTATTGCGATAGTGCTTCCTTTACCTTGGCCTCATCACATGATTCACTTAATTATTATAGAGCACTCCTTCCAAGGATGTAATGGAGCGTGGTTGGCCAGTAATGGCGTCTGCATTGTTCTTCCTGTTACTTGGATCACAGATATTTGTTGATGCATGTCTTCAGGGTTTGGAACTCGAAACAGTTTTGTCCTCATGCATGTCTCGGCCTAATGGTGGTGTGACTTCACGAGTGGAGAAATGACTGGAACGTGATCATCAGGTCTGCAGTCTCGGCATACAGATGTTCTTCGAGGCACCACCACGGACAAGTGGAAATCATGGAGGTTGGTGGCAATCTTCCTCTTTGGTCTGCAACTTGTGGGTTTGTTCTTAATCTACTGGCAGATGGGGCTGCAGGATGTGCTGAATGGTCACCTCCTCACCTTTCCGTTAGGCCATTATGCTCCTCCAATCTTGTTTATTCTCCTGCACAAGCAGAGGACATGGTGGATCTCATTATTTCTCAGCTTTAGCCAAGCAAGATGGAATAAACAATGCCGGTATGTGTAAATTTCAAGAACAAGCCTGATCCACTGAAAAAGCATGAGCTATCACTGAAGTTGATTAGATTCTTGTTGTCAGTGGAGGCCTCAATCTTTGTCATGTCCACCATGGCACATTATACTCAACAACAGTATGTTTCCCACAAGATCGGTATATATTTTGTTCGTCAGAGTGTTTCCAAGTGTGGGAGATCAGATTGCATGATAAATGCGTGCAGTGTGCCTCATGTGATCAAGCCTGCAGCTACAATACAATAATGAACATGGGCTCAGCATCCAGATATAGGAATAATGAGAGAGAAAGAGAGACTTATGTGATCTGCAGCTGCATGAACTAGGGATTATTCCATATGAACACTCGATGACAGAAACAATTCAGCAACAGCGGGAGCAACAAGAGATTGTTGGCATACGAACTCGAAAGGCTTACTCCCTTTGGTGTCTACATTGGGCTTGGAAAACAGGACGGAGAGCCTGTTTTCATGATTCAAATCTCGGTCGTCTACATCGAAAAGTAGCAATTTTATCATCTTATATCCTCCGAACCTTAAATTGACTGGCAGTATTTATTTGATACAGATTATTATGTCTTGACATGAATCTGAGGATTGTGACAACAACAAGTTGCAAGCCGATGTCCCAAGTGAAATCGATCGTGCTTACCGTACATGGAGGGGAGATCGAACACCATCACTAAGTTGCAAGCCGATGTCCACATATGCTCTCACTACTTTCTTTAACTTAATTCTTAGTCAATGGGGGTCTAATTTTAGTTCTAGAGTGGCATAAGTTTGAGGGCCCAACCAACATATGAGTCCACATTCTCCGCCATGTCTAAGCCCAGATTGACCAGCGCATGGGTCCAACACGATCACCAAACTCATCAACGGTGCCTATAACGCCCATAACTAACAGTGGTGTCGGAGAAGATTTAAGATCGTATATAGGGAGGGCTAACTCGACGGAATGTCATCAACATGACTTCCAAGCGTTTTGAGTCGGTAAGTTCATCACAATGTTGTGAGTGGTGTTTGCAAGCTCCACGTAGCATACACGTCCTCCTTGTTCAGTAATAAGAATGGATTTGTATTCTGCCTCGTGTATGCTGAAATCACCTTAACGGGGTCCCACCATACCCTACCCTTCCCTACCCATGATCATGTGTATACGTCATATGCTAACCTCGATAGTGCACTTGCGATCTTAAGGTGCACGCCAAAAGGAATAGAAAGTATCATCAAAAGATCTATCGATACCAGCCATCGGCCGGAAAATGGTTGGTAGTTTGGAGGAACTCGACTGGACACTCGGAAGGGTTGCAAGTGCATGAATAGGACGGTGAGGCATTTGATCGAATACCTCTCGGGCTGGGTGTACATGACGCCATCGGGCCGGGAGGGGCGAGAAGAATGCCCTAGTCGCCTGTTCGGCTGGGACGGTAAGCGGAACCATGTCATCCCAAGTCAAATCAGCGAAGGCGACCTCCGTTAGCATTTGCCCGTCTCCGCAGCTGTAGATGGAGGGGGATGACGAAGCCCTGGCCATCCCCTTGATGTCATGCTCCCCTTGCCGGAGCAATCAAGGGACCCGGGCGTGATGTTTTCTTGCGTTCCGCCGTATCCACCGATATCTTCGGCCGGGGGCCTTGTGACGATGGAATAGATCGCCCAGAGAAGTCGCCTCCTTGCACTGATTTAAACAAACAACTCGCTCGTAAGGGTCAACTCAAGTTATAATTTTGCTACTGCGGAAGTAGCTCCTCAAAACAAAGGAACTTGATCATCTATCCGGAGGGATAGGTGGAGTTACTGGGATCTTCATTTTGATGCACAACATGACCTAATAGTAGTTAAGGCTGTGGAACAAAAGAAGAAGAAGAAGAAGAAGAAGAAGAAGAAGAAGTAGGACAACGACGTGTTCTTTTGGATACGGAGTGTTGTTGGATGGATCATCATTTTGGATTTTATTATCATGCTGTTGTTGGAACAGTGAGGCGGAACTCACTGCCCCCTTCCCTTGCCGACTTATCCGGAGGGAGAAGAGAAAAGAATGAAAGGTATAATTTATAAGCACCATCATTTTAGCTGGTGATGTTGCACTCTCAAACGCTTCTTTCTCCTCCTTCTTTAGACTCCCTGCTGTACGTACGTGTGCTGTGTTCAAATCTTATCTTATTCGCAATGTCTTTAATATATTTTGTATTCGTAAGTAGCTTGAAGAAAGTAACTACGACCACTACATGAACCGCAACTGCATCGGCTCTCTCTCTCTCTCGTGCATATCTTTTGGGTTGCTCAACGCTGAAGCTTTCTTTAAAGGCAAAATATACGCAGCAGATCGATGCTTCTTATCTTACAATCTGTAAAGTGTCATCAAGACACGGTGCAGTCTTTCGCCCTTTCTCTCACAGTCTCGTTAGGACCACCCCACTCAGCATGCACAACACGTTGGAGTTCGGCAGCAGGAGAAGCTTCTCAAGATGATGATGTTGCCTCCATTGCATACTTCAGATGTTCTTTTAGCAGCAAACTTTTGATATTAATTTAGATTGCAACATACTGACAAAATCCATTGCCGTCTAGTACATGTATGTACTTCGTACCATTGCCAACACGTCTACTGCTCTCTCTCTCTCTCTCTCTCTCTCTCTCTCTCTCTGTATGACATCCTCTTCGTTTCTCATAACTCCAACCCCGCAACAAAGTGATAGCGTTGCGCCCACACTTGCACTTGTCTCTTCCTCACTCACCATCTATATATTGGCTTGCGACTTCTCCTCTGAAAGACTGCATCCTATAGCGAACAAGATGGCAAGCAGGAGATCTCGCTCGACGCAGGCGACCTCTTCGAGGATCACTGATGAGCAGATCGCTGACCTCCTGGCCAAGTTGCAAGCTTTGCTACCTGAGCACCGAATTCGGAGCACTGATAGGGTATCTATCATACGGTCAAAGCTATTACTTGATGTAAGTACTCGATCCATCAGTATGAACTGCTGATTACTGTCTGTTGTCGCCATAGGTGTCGGCAGCTGAGGTCCTACAAGACGCATGCAACCATATCAGGAGCTTGCAGCGCGAGGTGGATGGCTTAAGTGGAAGGCTCGCACAGTTGCTCGCCATGACCGACAGCAGCGACGCTCAAGCCGCGGTGATCCGAAGCCTTCTCATGTGAATTATCTCGTTCATCTTTGTTCTCTGATACAGTGAAGGTCAACTACTAGCTGTCAATGTTCATATCAATACTGGTCGATCTCGTTGACAGTCAAAACTTTTCTTTCGTTGTGGCTTGGATTGTATCTCTATTATCTTTCTTGTGACTTTGTCACCAGCCATTATATGATCTGGTAACAAGGCTTTTATGAATCAGTGAAAGCTACAAAAGAGTACTTTTTTAGCTAGTCACACAAAGTTCTTTTTATGATTGATTGAGAAAAAGGCTTCAGCCACAAAATTTTGGATCTTGCTGCAGAACCTTAAAGGTCAAATTCTTCTTCCTGTAGTTTTTCTTTTCTTTTTCTCTTTTGTCAATCTCCGTAGATTTGATTCCTTCCTCCATAAACCAACTTGCAAGAGGAGAATTTGGCATAACTAAGTGCATGCAAGAGTACCTGAATGACATCAAATACTGCTGCATTTCCAAGTGCACACAATAAGTAATCAAATGATATTGTTGGGAGAAGAGGAAAACTCGAAAATCTAAAGAATATATATATATATATATATATATATATATATATATATATATATCGAGATTTATTATGGTTCAGCAACTCTCACTTATATCCATAAAGAAAATCAAATTATTTAATATATTAAAAAATTAAGATAGAAATATTATTCTATCTTGAGTTAACCCAAATAAATAGAAGAACTCTTCTCTCGACCTTTATTAAATCTACCAAGAAAAAATCATAGAACCACTAAGTGTCTTGTCCATTTTTTCACTAAAATCTCAAGGCTTAAGGTATGTGTATAGGAACAAATCCTAATTCTGTAAGCATTCTTCCTACTTGAATCGTTAATCAATATTAATTTAATTAGGACTCCTCCCATATAACTAGAATTTAATTAGGACTTCTAAAAATACTTACCAACCCTAATAAATAAAAATACTTTTTTTGAAGGATATAGGATAATGAATCCATTCTATATAAAAATGTAAGAAAAAGCTTCTCTCAAAATTTCATTCAAGCTTTTTACTTTTTTTGTCCTCTTTGCATGTTTGTGTGCAGGCACTTGCTCTAAACATGTCATCTTCTTTTCTTTCTTGAAAAAATGCTTATAATATTGATTTGTTCTTACTTTTCTTTTCCCCATTCGAAGTTTCAATTTCTATGTGTATACACAGATTCTAATTTTCTCTACTGTCGAAAAAATGGCCTCTATCATGTAAAATTATATACATGTACTTCACTAAAGTTGCACTCCTCATGGGGGGGTTGAAACACTAGGCAGGGGCTTATATATTCAATCTGTATGAACAGTAATCAAGGTTGTAACTGATACCAACAAATTGAAGTGTTGTAGAAGATTAAGCAGGACATAGAGATTGCCAACAGCATGGTAATTGCTCTTAGAGATGCCTCAGGGGAAATCGATGGACAGTGCCAAGCAAAAAACAAGAAGAATACTACACATTAAGTTGATTAGGTTGCAGTACTTTTATGTTAGAGAAAAGAGCATGCAGTCATCTTCTTGAAGTTAGCTATCGGTGGAGAGTAATGGAATAAGATAATGATTTGCCCTAAAGAACTACTGACATAATAAAAGATGAAGTAGGTGGCTTCTGAAGCTAAAATTCATGCAAGAAATAATGTGCCTCGTACACCGAAAGTTGGAGAGTTCTGTAGGAGACGGACACACTTGGGGAAGGACATACAGCTGGAGTTTCCTAACTGAGACCTCGACGCTATGTCATCATTTAAAGGAAGATCGAATGCCAAATTCAGAAGATCTCTGGCTGGATCTTCAGAAGTAGTTGTACTCCGCAACAAATTTAAGAATACACTCGATGCCTACTGTGCCTCGGAAGGCAGAGATGATAACAAATGGAGGTGGAACCATCTGTTTTCTCGACTCAGATGATTCTACAGGTTTCATATTTTGAAGTGTGCGATCAGTGATTTTGATAGAAAAGGCTCGAAAGGTTTTAGCTATGAAATTTAGCCTAATGAATCTAAGATGCTCTTTTTCTCTGAAACTAATGCAATGAGGTGAAGGAAGCCTCAAAGAAATAAATGGTAGACATGTTCTTGGGGTTCTGCTTGACTTGGGAAACTGAACGAGAAAAAAGGAGGAGCAATAGGTTGGTGTTTACATTTAATTGGAAGAAGGGAAAGTTCTTCGGCAAATGATTCGATCAGATAATAAAACAGGGAATCAGTTCAAAAGGGGAACGTTTAGATGATTAAAGACGGACACATCCTGCCATAAAGATGTCAATTCAATCTTCAGGAACTAGAAGAGATGTATGGGGCAAAATCAAAGACCATAACACTCCCAACAGACAATCGAGATGCAATTGCAAACATGAACAGAAGAAGTTTATACATTACATGTTCAGCACTTGTAGCTGAATTCCACCCTCTGTGAGATATCTTATATAAATAAGTTGGCAAATATTATGACCAATGGACATAAAATACTCGATATTCTTAATTAAGAGCCAGTGGTGTCTTCCCACTAATCTGAAAATTATTATTGTAAGAGAAGAGGAACACACTCTCATCTTTTGTGAAGGTTCTCTTGATTTCCCTTCTCCTGGCTCAGCATCTGCTTGCCCCCCACTGCAAGATAAGAAGAAGCGTAGCGTGTATGATTCAACTGTGTGAAGTTAGCTGAAACTTCAATGGCTGTTGCCACTGCAGCATCATCTTTGACAGAGCTATAGTGACCGCAACTTTAGAGCATAGTGATGTATGGCCCACCAGCCAGCAACCAAGAATAAGAAGCTGTGGTTTCAAATCAGTCCAGCTAGAAGAAGAGATGAAAGAATATATATGATCAAAAAGATGAGAGAATTAGATCTCTGACATCCGGGTTGCACAGTTTTAATCTTCTCACACTGTAATGGGTTTCCCCATCTGTGTCTCCTCACATAAAACCAAATGGAAGGAAGAAAGACACCATAAGATGATGACGAAGAAGAAAAAATGGAAGACACACTTTACATAAGCTAACTGAATCTTTGAAAAGCTTCTCTTATTCCATGCTTTATTCACCTCTTTTTACTGTACATATTACAGCAATACGTCGAGCACTTGGCGGAAATCACGCTGCGTGCAGCATCAGCAGCAAAGCCGGCATCGAACGAGCCCGTTCTCATTGCATTCCGGGCACCTATGAAACCCGCCGAGCTCCTCCTCTTCCTCCACATACACCTTGCAGCTCCCCGAGCAGATCTCGCAGGGGACGAACCTGACGCCACCGCACCCCTCGCACGCCGCATCGCCGCCGCCTCCTCCTTTCCCCATCGAAGGCGTCGTCTCGCAGCAGTCCAACAACTTGGATAACCTCCCAAGCTCGTGCAGGTGCCGCACCTCCTCCGCCCCGCCCAGGTAGTTCCCGTCGGCGAAGACCCTCGGCAGTCCCTTGCCGCCGTAACCCGGCCCAAGTATGTCGATCAGCTCGTCCTTGAATCCTGCATGCAACGATACGTCCCTCTCGTCGACGCGAACGCCGTAGCCTTTCAGTATCATGCCGACGGCCCAGCAGTCCTCGTATGTCTTCCGTATCCCGCGGAGGCTGGTGAGATAGAGCACCACTTTCCCCTGCCCGCCGGGCGGGCATTTGTAGGTAGGCGCCACCTTTGCGGGGTCGGGTTTGCTGCTAGTCTTCCTAGCATCGATCTTCTGTTGGAACTCGTCGATCCTTGCTCGAACGATGCTGATGGATTTCGGATCTTCGCGGCCGTCGGCGGATTCTTTTGGTCGTGTTCTTGCATGAGATGGCTTCTTCTTCTGGTCCTCCTCCTCCTGCTGCTCCTTGTCAGGCTCAGGAGGTTGATGGATGGAACGGAATTGATGCTGCGGCACTTCGGCGGACTCTGCTGTTCGTGTTGTTGCATCAGATGGTTCCTCCTCCTCATCATCGGGCTCAGCTGGTCGATCGATGGAACAGAATTGATGCTGCGGCGACAGCTCGTCGAGGGCCTTACGGAAGGAGGACAGGATCTCTGGGTCAAAATCGGAGACGATGGAATCCTCCGGACTGAGCTGCATCCACTGCGGCTTTGGCGACGAGGATCTACCCGAGAGATCGGTATCCGGCGATGAACGGCGGACGTCCCGCGAGGTGTGGAAGGAGAAGGAGCGGTTGACGCCAACGGCGGGGAGGAGGAGGGGGCTGGCGTCTTCAAGGTCGGCCATGAGCTCCCAGGCGTTGATGACCTCGGGCTCGTTGGGCGGGGTCATTGTCGGGGTCTTCGGGATCCGGCGCTCGATCACCTCCGACCAGGTCTTGGCGCGGCCGAGCTCCTTTGCGACGCCGGCCTGCGGAACCGCGGTCGGGAAGTCGTTGGTGATCTTCATCATGGCCTCGTCGTCGGAGCTAAGGTCGCCGCGGTGGAGCACCGGGGAGCCGAGGGCGGAGGAAGAGAGGGCGATGGCGTGGTGATCATCCCAGCACCGGCGCTGGGCGACGGCCGTGTCAACGTAACGGACGGGGATGGAGTGGCTGCGAACAAAATGACCGGGGCTCCGCCCGCGGCGCCGGCGGAGCTGCTTCGAGCCCGTGCAACCCATGGAGAATGGAAACGGGGGAAATCTCCGCGCTAGCTTCGATATCGATCCGAAGAGATCGACGATAGGATTCAGAAGCGGCTCGGGAAGCTGTAGGAATTCTGCTGATATCCGTGAACGTTCCGCGATCCCAAAAATGTAATCTTTAGGAACATTCCCAGAGAGTCTTCTTCTTTTGCATTTCCTATCGATCCGAGCCACCAAAATAGAACATAATTAATGGATTCACAGAGAGAGAGGAGGCAAAGGCTTAGATTTGAGGGAATTCAAGGAACGACGAAGGCGAATGTAATGAAGCAAAATTCGATTGTGATCGCAGAAACAAATCAAAGGTATCAACTTGACAACAGAAACGCAGGATGGAAGAAGTCGGTTCTTGATCGTACTGAATTCGATGAGAGCAAACAGAGAAAAGGAGAGGAACTAAGAACAGAACGAGTCAGAGTTCCAGAAAAATGAACAGGAGAAGAACGCGAAATCCACCAAAGCAAGAGGGAGAAGCTGCCACCCACTACGACGACGAAGTCAGAAAACCCGGATCAAATGCCTGGTGAAGTCAAACGGAAGGAAGCATCCTCATCACCCATCTCTGGAGTGGACTCCTTTGGACCCCTTCTTCCCCAAACCCACCCACCAGCCCTTTCCTCAACTTTCCCCTCTCTCAAATTGGCCATATATATATATATATATATATATATATATATATATACAATCCGAACAATTTCTGTCGAAGCCGAGTCTGGCCGAGATCTCCGGGCAATGACCCTCTCCCTGCCTCCCTCGTCTGCCAATGGCTAATGCAAACGCTTCTGAGAGAGAGAGAGAGAGAGAGACAGAGAGAGAGAGAGAGATTGTTCGTGCCGAGGTGGGCGGAAGTGAAGAGGTGGGCCCACCTAAACTGGACACGCGAGCGGAGATGGGAAGAGATGACTTCGGACGTTGCATTCGGCAGAGCTGGCGATCCGAGCCACTGAAGCGAAGCGGGGACCACTCAAAGCTGGGCAACGTGGCTCACAGCGACAAGAGGGCGTCCAAGAAGAGTTGCGATCCGGAGGGACGTGTGGGGCCGGGTACGGGTAGGGGTCGGTTGCTCGCCTTTTCCTATATTTAATGCGCCTTCGTATGTTTGCGTATGACCGTATAATAATAATTATAATAATAATAATTATTATTATTATTCTTGTTTCTACTACATATGGATATCTTCGTAATTTTATCTTCCCCTCTGAATCCTTTGTTTAATTGATTCTTAGTTTAAGATTTCTATTTAATCTGCTTCCATAACAATAAATATAATTGGTGGCCACTTACTTTCATCTTTTATGGAGAACGGTTGTATCATAAATTATGTTTCCCCTACATTTATTTTGATGACAATGTAGATATTGACTAAGACCAAGAATGTGCCGCAATAAGTGGGTGGCGTGTTAGGTCGCCTAATGCCTGAGCCATTAACTTGATTATAGAGATATTTCTGTTCATGCAAATTTCTCAGCTAGAGAAATTTGATTTTAGAGATACAAAAACCAGTTTAATATGAGGAATTATAAGATTTAATTTGATTATAGAGATATTACATTGAAATTGTAAAATTATGCCACGAAATCCGACACGAGTTGACTGAACACTTGTGTTTTGGGTCAACTTTGACCAAGAATAGTGGTCATGCCATTAGAGCTTCTGGTGTGTCGGTTCCGATCCCATGACAAGAAGTCCCATCGGGAGGAAAGGTCGTCGAGTTCATAATCATGATGTACATCCTAATGCATTACAACCGTAGCTAAACATACTTCGATGACAATACATACTCGTGATTTTTTCATCACACGTAAATAAATTATTATATGTGAAATTAATCTGACTCTCTGAGTTGTCACACTTGAAAAAGGTAAAACCAGTCGATGCATGATCAAATCAGGACATGTTTATTTGTTCCGAGCATCAAAAAACTTAAAGAGTATTCATTATTCGTTTTGTAATTTTGTAACTAAAAGATATATGGAGGGGTTGTGTCATATAATATTGATGTCGATTTAATGAGAAAAATATATTTTTAGTATCTATGCTGACATGACATGTCAAGCATATGTTGATTGCATTCTATGTATTATGTTTTGATTGGTCGAAAATAATGATCGATTTCATTCACGTTCATTGTATTTCGACGTATACGCTTCTCTATCTCGGAGTATAATGATTATTTTTAGATTTTAACCATTGTGATATGTATTAAATATGATTAGGTAGTACTTTTGTTGCTTTCTTATTCTGGGTTTGATGTACCGAGCAGAAAGAGGAATACATTGTCATTTGAGCTTGTCAAATATTTTTTCATCATGGGTAAAGAGGATGTTTTAGTTGTATCGAGCATTTTTCATGTTTTTTTTTGTTATAGATAGATACACCATATGAAAAATAAAATATTTTGAATGTGTTAAGTGCTTTGATTATCATAAACAAATATAACACTCACAAATAAAATATTTTGGTCACATCGAATAATTCAGATTTTTATCGTCCGTTACACTAGCTCGCCCATCGCTTGTCGGTCACACTTGCTCGTCCGATGTTTTGTCGGAAGTAAACTTTTTAGCATCAAGGTATAACGAGTGAGCAGATATGGTGGATGAGTAGGTACAATGAGCGAGCGAGTACGATGAGTAAGTAGATGTACCAGACGAGCAACAAATAGGTTGGAAAGAAGAAACGATATAATAATCAGACTTACAGTCAAAAGTTTTACTCATAAAAAATACAGTGATCATAACGAGATATTTTTAATTTTTTAAATAATCTCGTTAAGAATTATTATGATATTAGTGGCTAATTACAATTTTTTGTTATATTATATAGATATAAAAATAATTTTTCTTAATGGAAATCTAGATTTACATGGGTTAACATAAATAATTCATAAAGAAAATAAAAGAAATACAAAATTTGATATGCAGATTTAGAAAATTTATTTATGACCTTAAATAAGCTTATAAACAATGATATTTCTTAATATCATTAGTTTCTTCATATTTAAAAAAAATTATTGATTAATATTTATATCTAAAGATTAATGAGAGTAAGTTTATTAAATCGATCTTATATATGGATAATATTTTACTTGCCTAGATATGAATGAGGTATATTATATTATTAATATTGATATATTCAAGGATAGATCTTAAGGATTGTCAAAACTATCTCAAAAATAATATATTTGCCGAGTCTCGAAAAGATTTAGTATACAACTTTATGACAAAAGTAAAAGTTTTAATCAAAATAAGTATTTTTAAAATAACTTAGAAAAAATTTAAATAAAAAAATATTCATTATATATGCGTAGTTGAAAGCCTTATATATTGAAGCGTATTAGATATCAATTTTATATTTAAAATATTATATATATATATATTAGAGTAGATATATATTAGAGTTATCCAGGGATTATTCAAAGATCATAGATCTTCCCTCATCTCTCCTTGGTCATGTGAGCTAGTTAACGAGATATTATAAATCTCTCTCATATCTCCTTTGTCCTTATACATCGTTTAAAGTAAACTTATAAATGATATGAAAAGAGAAGGAGAGATACTCGTAGATAAGATAAAATATTTTTGAAATCAAAATGTATGTATCATAAAATTGATATATTGGTATTTGATTTAAATTTTTTTATATAACAATAACATAAGTATGATTTTTATGTTTATATTTTATCTATTTTTCAATTACTTATGCAAGATATAACTAGTCTTTTTAGTGAAGAGCATTTTAGAGTTAGGTAAGGACGGTTTAAGCTAAACTAGATTGAAATACGGTGAATTAAATTTACTGTAGGAAAAAAGGAAGGCTTAGACCTATCAGGTGTGGTGAAGGAAGGTTTTGATAGGAACAGTCACTTAGCCTAATTCCTTGATGGGAAGGAGAACTTATGGTCTTATAGAATCATCATTAGTGGTGTGAATTCAAGATCGACACACATGCTACGGTAAATGAGATATATTTTTATGAGATTTTGTAATTCAATTTTTTTTATGATATTTTATTAAATATCATCCTTCTATTACTAAATTGACACAGTCAATTTGTGTTGGATCGACCCGTTCAAACTTAAAAGTAAAAAATTTAGACTATATATATATATATATATATATATATATATATATAATCTAACAAATATTTGATACCTTATATTTTGACAATCATATTCCTATAATCAATATAATTACGTAGTTATCCATGCATGTGAGGGAGGCTGCACATGACCCGAGGAGTCTTCTCCTTCACGAGTAATATCGACGCCACCCTACAACGTATCCATTGATCTCTGCATCCCTTCCTCTCATTGATCTCAACAAGAGTTATGACCATCAACATTCTTATGTGCTATTGTTACCTGACTCCATCTGCATCCGACACTATGATCTACCATGGTCAACACCGGCCCTTGTTCTTTCCTTCCATCGACGGGATCGTCCCCTTCCTTGCAACAACGAGAGCTATAATGGCTCGCTCGTCCTTTTCTTCGTTCCATTCCTCTCCCTCCATGCCATCGAAGGCGATGAGAACTTTCTTGGAACGCAAGCAGATGTTATGCAAGTATTATAAGCTCATTTTAGGTGCAACATCGAAATCATATGTATGCAGGTTCTTTTTCCATCATAAAACTTTTTGATAAACTTTATATGTCGATCCCAATAATTATATTCAAGTAAAAAAATCATCATTTATTATAAAATACAAATTGTATGAAGAAAATATCATAGATTCCTTTACATGTCCTAATGGGCTTCCACTTTGTTTGCCTTGGGAGCAAAGAGCGTGTGACAATGTTGACATTGAAGACGACCAAATTATTGTACTGTGACATTTGCCTGTCTTCCTTCTCTCCTTCTTCTTCAAAGTTGTAGGCATCCAAGAAACATATATTTTTTTCCTGCTTGATCATGTCATGACGTCAAGTTCTTTTAGTCAATTCTTTTCTGCTTCGGATTCCTATCTTAATCTCTTACTCTTTAACACAGATTGGGATGGAGAGAAAGGAAAAAGTGGTGTGTCTTTGTTCTCCATCTTTTGGGAGCTCTCTTTACCGAGATTGCTTTGTACGTAAACCTTACTGTCCTCCGCCACCTTAACCATGCGATTTTAATCTTGCCCAAGCCATGTCTTTTAGTCATTTGCCTAAGATGTACTATGCTAGCATTTGAGGCGTACATAATTCTTGCATGTATATGGTGTATGTGTAATGTCTTAACTATTTTGAGGTCGACTTTATAGATATTTTTATTGTCGTTGATCTCTATAAAATAGTGTAGATCATTTAGATCTTTATTGAAAGTCTCTAACAAAATTATTGGCAAATTCATGGAGAGAGAGAGAGAGAGAGAGAGAGAGAGAACATCCCATATTTATTTATTTATTTATCTAGCGTACCGTCCTTATTTTTCTGAATCCGAAAAATACCCATACTTTGTTTTACGACCATCTCTTTATAATTGGTTCTTTCTCGGTCTCGTTTAATGCATTAAGAACCGGTCTGATGGATTAAATCAAACCAAACTAATAATAAGAAAATTATATATATATATATATAATTAGAAAAATCCAATTCCTTTTTTTAAAATAATTTATATTTTATTTCACAGGTTCGTCTTTTGATTCTTTTTTATTATTATTATTTTATATTTTATTAACCATATATCGATACATGACGATATCAGAATTGATTTGGGTTTGACTCATAGCTGAAACAACAAGAAGCGCACCGTCTCACCGTAGCGAAGCAGATCTCACTGCTCTTTCACTGTAAACCGAGCAATTAAGCAGCAGAATTCCTCGTCCGATGACTGTGTTCAACATGGACGCAATTACCACCTGCACTGTTGATTTCTGCCATCTCCCTCGGATTCTTCTGCTGCGTGAAGGTTGCCGATGCCGTCTACTTCACCCGTCCATGGTATTCTCCATCTCCCTTGCTGTGACTTGGACTCCACGCCTTGTCCCCATTAGCAGTACGCCTCTCTTCCTTTCATATACTGCACCACTCGCTCCTCCTTCCTTCCTCGTCCTCTCACCACCATGGCAGCTATCGGCATCGACCAGAGCAGCTTTTAGCGTCTGCCATCGCCGATGTTTCAGAACCAGATGACCTGCAATGGGATGCCGCCGCTCTTCCCAGCGAACCTGTTGCTGCAGATTCCCCACGACGAGACCAGTCCTCCGGGATTCGGAGGCGAGAGGCCTTACCTGGCGAGCTACCCCCAGGACCTGACACTGGGACTTCTGTCGAACGACTGCGTGGGTGCTGCAAGCGTGGAGACCCTTCTGGGGAAACGATCCGTGTCCTTCTCGAGGATGGAGGCCTGCGAGGAGTTGAACATCGAGGAGGACCTCTCCGACGACGGATCGCAGCCGGCAGGCGAGAAGAAGAAGAGGCTGAACCTGGAGCAGGTCAGGGTACTGGAGAAGAACTTCGAGATCGGGAATAAGCTGGAGCCGGGGAGGAAGATGGAGTTGGCCAGGGCTCTCGGGCTGCAGCCGAGGCAGGTGGCCATATGGTTCCAGAACAGGAGGGCGAGGTGGAAGACGAAGCAGCTGGAGAAGGACTACGATGTGCTCAAGAGACAGCTCGAAGCCATGAAGACGGAGAACGAAGCCCTGCAAGCCCAGAACAAGAAGCTTCTCTCCGAGGTAGGGATTGCCATGAACGAGTCACATCCTGCGAATGAACCGTGCCTCTCAGATGCGACAGTATAGAGATCGACGATGAAGGTTCACATTTAGATCAGTAATGTGAAGACAATTCTGCACTTATATCTCCTTCTTCCTTGCAGGTTTTGGCTCTCAAAGGCAAGGAGACCTCAGAGCCCATCAATCTCAACAAGGAAACAGAGGGCTCCTGCAGCTTCAGGAGCGACAACAGCTCCGACATCAATCTGGATCTCTCAACATCGGATCCCCACAAGAGCAGAGTCTTCTTCCCATCTTATAGGCCGCCCCCAGCTAAGACAGAGACACCCAAGGAAGAACACAGCAGCATCCAGGAAGAGAGCTTCTGCACCATGTTCTGCAGCACAGACGATCAATCCGCCTTCTGGGCATGGTCAGAGCAACACAATTTTCATCAGTAGTTCTTCCGTCCACCGACTGATCGATAAATTACCGAACGGTCATCATCACATGCTTTAGGAAGAGCAGACTGTATGCACAAGGACGTACGCGCGCTGGTGCACGAAGAAGAAAGCTGCCAGTTTGGGCTGGAAAGAGGAAGGGAGTTGCTACGACAATAAGTAATTCTCATTGGTGAGTGATGTTATGTATCTTCTGTGAGTCAATCTGTGTGTTTACTTTTCCCATAACTTGAGAGGTGTGGCATACCGTACAAGAATTGGAACATAGGTTTCATTAGGCTGTTCATAGATGTTTGCTGAACCATGAAATAATGGGTTTCTTTTCTCCTCGAAACTTTGGTACTTGTTCTACATCTTAGTTCAGCAAACTGTTCAAGGAAGGAGAGGATGGCGAGGTGGGTCTGAGAACAGCTCATCTGCTTTGATGGCAAAAAGGTTTCTCTGACAAGGAATGCTCGCCTTAGCCACACAAGCTTAAGCTTGGGTTCAGGACGGGAAGGAACCATGTGACACGCACTGTCATCCACTATCTTCATGCTTATCATCTGCTCATCATCCACATCGATCCTGTTCCCTGACGACTCACCATATTTGCCTCACTTCTCCTGATGATTGCCAAACATCGAACTCAAGTGTGTGCGCGCGTGTTTGTGTGTGTGTGAGTGAGTGAGTGAGTGAGTGAGTGAGTGAGAGAGAGAAAGAGAGAGAGACATCATCTCGTGGTTTCTCCAGAGAGACAGTAGTATGGTGGGACAATGGCTTCGCAAGCATCCATTTGAGCTTGTGACTCTCATCAGTCCTCGCTATCAGGAACACCAGTAAATCTTGGACCAGGAAATTTACTGTCTGAAACGAGATGCCTCGTTTTATCTATCCATCTCCAACCTTACGTTCAACACTCAAGTAGAGTAGGTCATGATCTGCAGAGAGACAAAGAGAGAGATAGAGAAGGCATGGTGTTAGCTGCTGCTGTGCTGCAGTGCTGCAAACAGTGAGAGAAAACACTGTTTCCTTGACCAAGAATGCGGCAGTGGATAAGAACATCAAGTACAGAAATGGTGGTCGTATCTCAGTGTGCCTCGTGGAGTCTTTCACCCCCCAATTCCCACCCCCTCCCCCAAACCCCCTCCCCCCAAAAAAACGTCGTCTTAGACATGCATTTGTCTTCCTTCCCGTAGCTCCGGATTCCACAGAGTAATAATGGTGGGAATGTTTGCCTCCTCCTTTAATAGATCGGAGACTCCATTTCTTCCTCTCTGACAGAGAGACCAAAAGTACCGGCGGATTAGATCTGAGCAGTGAGAGTGGGAGAGAGAGAGAGAGATGGTGACACTGTTGCAGTGGTGGCTGGCACGGCCGTGGAGGCCATGATAGCATGTGAAGGTACAGTTATCAATGTGTCCATATCAGACGACATGTCCACTTCAGACAACGATCTGCTTTGGAAAGATCGGCAAACATCTGCTCGGATCGATGCGTTGTTCATCGGCACGTACAAGTATGTTGGAAGAAAATTACACGGTAAAGGAGAAACATACAAGATTATGTTGGTAACTTATAGGCTCTTTTGCAATACATAAATAAATAATAAAAAAGTCGATAAAAATTTTTCGTATATGTTTATGACAAAAAAAAAAAATCAAATTTTTTACTATGCATAATCAATTGCAAGCATCTTTGAGTTAACCTCAACTCAATCATGAATTTTTTTTATATGCCCTCCCTCCCTCTCACATAAAATCTAAAGAATTTCTTACTCATTTTCTTTCATCCTTTTTGGATCTCCTACGTAGAAATCTAAGAGTACGGAGGGTATTTCTTTACATCATACTCCCTACCATGATGTAAAGATATATGAGATATTTATAACACTAAATCATAATTTACTAAGGATATTTTATATTTTTTACTTGAATCTCACAAAAACTTTGAATTGAATAGTTTGAATCCTCTGGAGACTTTGAAAATATTGATCAACCACTGAGATTAGTCTGATACTATTCAAGAGTCAAGCTATAAGTAGAGAGAGATATAGTTTGTCGTTATTGATGCACCAGGTTAGATCTATAGAGTAGTGGTGCTTGAATGGCAGAACCTCTCTATTTGTTCATCGTTAACCTATATTATTAACGTCTGGCTTTCTTTCTCCTCTCTCTTTTTTGGATCTAACAACTTCTTTTACATTTGATATAGCTCAATTCCTCTCATGAAAATAGTATCATTTAGCCTTCCTCTCTTTCTCTCCACAAAAGATGTTTCGATGTGCTCCCCCCCTTCCCTTTCACACGGAAACATCCGGGCAACCTGCAGCGGCAATACTGTTCCAGATAGGTCGATGGCATCTGCAAAGAACATTAATATGACTCTTCTCATATCCTACATTAAGATGAGGAACACTAAGCAGCCTGCTAATTTCGAGAGGATTAAACTAAGAAATTCTCTCCATCTCTTTCTTCCGACATGTTGTCTAGTCTTTAATATTCTTACCTCGAATCCTATATAAAAGATTTTGAGCTTTGAAGAGATAAATACATGTCAAAATCTCTGACTTTAATGGGACATGAAAGACCTTTTCTATTGTTCTTGCTTACTTTCTCCCATTAGGGAATAATACCATGGAATGATTCTGTGCTGTTCAGGTGACAGATTGTAACGGCCGCAAAGACCAGTGATTTAGTGAACATTCCTGATGACCACACCATTGAAAAGGGAAGCATGATGATCCTTGAGCTTATCGACATGCTGCAAATACCGAGCACAGATAACGAATCCAAAGCCAATAAAAATGATCCAAGCAATTTTACATGACGACATGTTTGAGACAACTACAGAATGACTCGACAAATAAAGAGGACTTGATCTGTTCAATTTTCCCAAGGAATGGACTCCACAAATCATAATCTGCCTGAGAAGGCGACGAATGCAATCTTCAAAGAGCCTCGTTTAAGAAATTTAGACCAATCCTCGGTCTTTTCTTCGGTCGACAACTAATCATAATTTTCATAACCCGTAATATATATAGTCTGTATTACTTACGGTGGACTCTTTTAGAACACCATTTAGACAACAATTATGGACAGAAATGGTGCCTGAAAGTTTAGGGGAATGGGAATCTTTCAAAGCCATTTCAGCTAGACACAAACTCTCTCCCATGGAACAAGTACAACCAATCTAGTTAAAATAAGAGTTTTAGGACAGATTCAATACCTGACAGTATAGACAACTAGTTCCGGATATCATTGTTTCTTCCCCACTTCCCAAATAAGAATACCACCCATCCAAACAAGGATCACAACTTCCCGACATCGACAGCATTCTTAAGGTTTCCTCCGAGAAAAGACATCAAGCCACCACCGTGTGCCCTGCCCTCCGGAGTAGCACAGATATATCACGAGAAAGATGCATATATAGCCAAACTATTGATTGATATTTTCATCAACAAACTGTTTTAAGTATGCAATCTGAACAACAAAGAAAAACACATTTATGAAAAGAAAAAAGAAGAATTCAACCGTGGATCAGTTCCCATGAGGTCAGGGATGCTAAACCTGATAAAAAAAACATCATCTGGTTGTCTTTCATATCCGATCGAGCAACTGAGTCATAAATACTAATAGGACCTGCAGAATATCCAGATAGAGACACACCAAAAAAGGCCCGTAAATAGTGGTCATGCTCCACCTCCTTTCGTATGTGTGCCCAACAGAGACCAAAAAGGATCCAAGATCAGATGAAGAAGAAAGGAGATCCAAGATATATAAAACCATATGCATGTTTTACCGTTCCAGAAATACAGTTTAGAGATATTCTTTGGGAAAGCAGTCACATCTATAAAGTATCTAAACCAAAATAATGAAATTGACGATTTCTCTTGGATCAAACGAGACTTAATGATATGGATCTACAGTAGGTACATGACCAAAATACCCAGAAGATCGTGATGAGCTACTATATTCGTTTACCTACAAAACACAAAATTCTGCTCCAGGCATCTTATTATTAAGGCATCAATTCTCTAGAAGAGGCATCAAATTATGCTCTAGTTCTATGGTTCTAGTCATATAACCGGACAAGATTGAATACTTACTACTGACTCAAAAGTTAAAGATCTCAAACTTAATCCTAGTGAGAGCATACTGAAGCAACAAAAACTGAACACTCTGCAGTGTCACGCCACAATATTTAATAACTATACATCACATCCCACAAGATCCAAATTACCAGAGCCATCTCTGTTCTACGCTTGAGACTCATTCTCAGGTAGAAGCTAAGATTTTCTTGAACATGTTGATTACTAGACAAAGAAAACAACAAGGACGAGAGAAGCCTGCCGAGCTCGAAGAAACCATAGTTTTCGGCATATAATCAGCTCAGAACCCAGAAAGACGAGACGTACGAGAACGAACCAACGAAAGATCCAGAGTTCGATCTTCTGAACGAGAAACGGCGTTAGCTTCCCATGGAAACCAACAAAAGAACCAAGAAATCGTACTCACTCAGACCCGAAACGCTTCGACATCATCGAACAGAACACCAAACATAACAACCTCGAGAAAACGCCTCCCACGAACATAACAACGAAAGATTTCTCCATCGAGAACTAATATCCTATGATTTTAGTAATATCTTTACTAATATCCTTACCTATAAAATATGATTTATAGTAAGTAATTACCGTATAAGTCTTTATAGTTTTATTCAGGATAATATACGTAATGTTATGTATAAAATATTTTTAAATCATGGGTAAAAGATATTTAATGATAGATACCTCATGATTTCTTTAGCAAATATAACCCTGCAATATAGTATATATAATAATAAAAAAATTCTATAGTGAGTAATACCAATATCTTTACCTATAAAATAGTATTTTAGTTTACTAATATTCTTACAAGTAAAATATGGTCTATAGTGAATAATCACTCAGTAAGTAGTATAAAATATTTTTAAATCATTAGTAAATGATAGACACCTCATCCTATGATTTCTTTAATAAACATGACCCTGCAATATAGTATATATAATAATAAAAAAATTTACATTGAAACAATTTAAATGCTTATATGGACATGTATAAAATATAGCAAATTCATAAACTTCTATTTTTTATATTATAATATATACATATACTCCCACACCATGCGTAATCATAAAATATACGTGTACATCATAATATATATATGTACTCTCACATCGCACATTATATGATCATAATATATGCATGCACTTCATTATATCATATCATAATACATATGTGCACTCTTACGTTGTACATCGTACTATATATATATGTACTCTCACATATGTATATATGTCGTCATATAT